GGCCCCTTTTCACCTTTCTTTTATTCAAAGCAGACGGAGCGGCGCCACCGGCTGGACCGGCTCGACAAGTGAAATTTAAAAATTTAGCGGGAAAAGTGCTACCTAGGCATTCCCCCGGGGAGGAGGTGGGGGTAGGAGGGGGCGAACTGCTCTGGCCGCGCCCAACCCGCCCCGCAGCCCCGACGGGGCTTTACCCCGTGGCACAACGCCGTGGACGTCTCTAAAGTGGAACATATCAGATTGTGGATCGGGGCGGACGCTCGGACACCCGCACGACGCGCAAGGCCGGCCGCGCTCCGGGTGGAGGTCAACAACAAGAAGTTCCCTGGAGAGTACACGACGACCCAACAGCGCCCTGTGGAGGGAGTGGCGGGGGAGGGGAAGGGATACAAGCGCATGATGAAAGGGTATGGAGAGGACACACGAGAGAGAGGGCCAGAGGAACAGAGAGAGAGAGAGAGAGCGAGAGAGAGAGAGAGAGAGAGAGAGAGAGAGAGAGAGAAGGAGAGAGAGAGAGAGACGGCTATGGGGTGGGGGGTGAGCATGCTGATCCGGTAAGTGGATGAGGGGCGGCTCGGGCTCGGCCTCACACCTTTTTGCCCCCCTCCCTTTTTCTTGTTGCTCGCCCCGGCCCGTCCCCGCCGCCCCCCGCCGCCCGTAAGTGTGCAGGCCACCCCGCCCCGATACGTGGGTGCATTCGGCCCTCGCGCCCTCCCTCACGCTCGATCGGGTAGCAGCGGCGGGGCGGCGGCGGCGGCAGCCTACACCGCTTGAGGCACTTGAGCGCCAACGGCGACGCGACGCCGAGCGGCTTCCCGCAGCAAAGCGAAGCGGGGGGTCGTGGGGGAGGGGGAGGGCAGGTGGCAAAGGAGGGTTGGGTCAGCGCGGAGGGAGGAGGGTGGGGGACCAGCAGGGTACCTCTCTCTCTCTCTCTGGGGTGTGAGGCAGAGAGAGGGAGAAAGGGTAGGAGCAGGTCTAGCGTATCAACACGCTCAAAGCAAAAGCAGCGCGCGTTACGATGACGGTGAAGGGCTCAAAGCAACGACGAGCCCGCCTCTCGGGTGGACGCCGCCGCCCGACACAGCAAGGGGGATGCTGTCCCCTGCAGAGTCGCAGCCGCAGTCAGTGTGGGCGGGGCGACGACGACGACGCGGGGCGGGACCCACACACGAGGCTTAAGGCTCCGTCGAGAAACGGAAGAAGAAAAATTATTGAGGGCTGACTACTTGGAAGGGGCGCAGTTTTGTTTCCCCTCCCTCTCCCGGTCTGGGCCCCCTCCTCTGGCAGCGGGGCCATCACGACGGCCCGTGTCCTCGCCTCGCCCTGCCGAGTCCATTCGATGTCGTTTTGCGGGGGCATTTCTCAGCGCGCTGCTGGCTGGCTGGCTGGCTGGCTGCCCTCGCTCCAGACCTCCTTGCCAGCAATGCGCGCGCGCGACCATAGCGCGGACCACACCAGATGGAGCGAGGCCGACACAAAAATCATCCCCGGTGTGGAGTGGAGCAGGAGGAAGGAAGGGGGCGGCTGGTATGGCTGTGAAAGAGCGCAGTATAAGCGGCAGCGGAGCGCAGAGCAGCGTGCGCCAAAGCCACTTTGTTCGCGTAATTATTTTGTCAATTAACATTCGGTCCTTAACCTCTGACTCACTCGTGCTTTTACGGCTTTCCCGTGTTATTTTTTCTCTTACACCGCCTCTCTCTACATTTCTAGCAATGGCGGTGGACTTTAGTTTGCTTTTATTATTTCCATTCCGAGCAGCGCTCGAGCCCCGAGCCCCGCGCCCCCTCAGCCCGCAGCGCGCAC